TAAGGTGGACATGAGAGAAAAACTCAAAAGGAGCTCGTAGGAGTGGGCAGGACCCCTTGTTAAGAGAGCCTGTGTGCTGTAGGGGCAGAGGGTCTCTGCTGGCTGCTGGTGGGGGCCACGGGGGTGTAACTTGAGTTGGGGCCTGTGGGCAGGCAGGGGTGTCCATGGCCAGTGGCCAGGGTGGAAGGTGTCCAGTCTCTTGCATCAGGTGACTTCCTTGACGCTTCTTAAAAGTATCTGAGTCGGGGTCAGCTCTACAGAGTTGCAGTTGGGTTTACAAGGAATTATGCACAAGTAACGTGAATTTTCTCTTTCTCTGAAAGCAGTTTAATACTAAAACGAAGGATGGGTTCACCGTGAACACAAAAGTCCCCAGCCTCAAGGACCAGGGGAAGGAGTATGAGGGATTCACGGTCACCGTCACAGGAGACAAGTACGTGTGCTTCTCCGTGGGGCACTGACCTGGGGCTGGTGGCAGGAGCCGCATGGGTGCCCGCCACTGCCACGGGGCTCCTGGTCAAGGGTCTAGGTCCGGGGTGCACTGACACCCAGTATTTATTAATGTGCCTCCTGGAGCGTTGCACCAGCAGACACATCTTCTCACTGTGTATAATCTAACAGCTTTCTGGACACTGCGGATAATGTCTACTGTAGTTTGCAGAGAGCTTTCTTCTAGGTTGTGCAAGTTCATTTTGGGGGGAAGGCTTTTACTAATAAAATGAAAAAAAGATGAGAAGTTGGCAGACTGGAGGCCATTGTAAGATATTTAAGAGTATATATATATTTATACAGGTTTTAATTATTTCAAGATAGTATGTTCTTATTGTCAGAAATTTAGAATAGACAAGCAAAATTAACAAAATAAAAATCAAGTTATTTTCTTTAAAAACTGAGATTATACTGTACGAACTGTTTTGTGACCTGTTCTTTCCTCCCCTTACCGGTACATTGTCACCGTCGTCTTCTCAGTCACATTCTTACAAGCATTTTCAGTAACTGCGCATTCCATTTGTAGCTGTTGAAGATTTGCTCCCGCTAATTTTTTTGTTGTTGAGCATTTTGGTGTTTTCTGCTTTTTTGCTTTACAAACAGCACTGCAGTGAACGTATTTTTAACTATGGTTTGATGACATCTGAGATCCAAACTTTGTCTAAGAGCCTCTATATCCCTTGAATTTTGGGTGGAACCACCTCGAACCATGCATGCATATGTGTGTACACACACACACACATGCACACACATGCACACACACAAATATACACACACATGCA